TCACTGGGTGACCTTGAGCCTGTCCTACCTCACAGGGTTGTTGTGGGGTTTAAATGGGAAGAAAGAGAACCATGTATGCCACCTGGAGCTCCTTGGAGTAAAGGGTGGGATAGAAATACAATGAATATGATGGTGGTATTATTATTATTATTATTATTATTATTATTCCCTTGCACCGCCAGCAGGGGGTGCTAAATGCTGCACTTCCATCTGCAGCAAGGCACATTAATAAAATGTCACTCCTCTGAAATGGGGGAGAAACAGGGGTTGGCCCCCGTATGATAGCAGCCCTCCCTTCTGCCTCTCAACTCTTTCCTTAAAAGCTGGAATCCATTTGCCCAGCTGGGTTAACAGGGCCTTGGTATGCTTTTCCCCACCCCCCTTGAAAAGAGACAAAACAGCCTCTGCTCATTTGCAAACATTAATTAATTTAGATGTGCGCAGAATGAGGGAAGGTGGCAAAGCACCCAGCAGTCTGGCGGGGGCCGGGAAGTAGCTGTTAAGGGCGGGTTGCATTTTCCCCTGACCCTTTGGAGCTGCTGCACAGGAGTAAAATCATAGGAGCTCAGAGGTGGAGGGGAAAAGGGGGTTTAATAATAATACTTAATAATAAATCTACCCCACACAGACATGCTGCTGTTTAAGAGCATCCCCGACAGGTGGCGGACATCCTGCCTTTCCTGGGAAACCTCAAATGAGGGGAAGGGGGACACACGTACCCCGCAAGGTGGCGGTTTGTTCAGGACCCCCCAGATCAGCCATTGGGGACCGGCAGCTGTCACTGTTGCATCAGGGAGGGAGCCCTGTGAAAACACAGGCCTCAAACATCTCTGCGCCTTAATGACCTGCAAAGCAGTGGGGGCTGGGGCAGTCGGGAGCCCAGATGTTCGGGTTGCACAAAGCGACCTCCATGTGTAAATACAGCTGACTGAGAAGCTGCCATCTGCTGTCAATCAGGCAAGATGGTGACGGAAGCTGTCAACATGCCATCATCTTCCTGACATCTGATGGGGCCAGTTGTAAATCCTGCCTGATTTCCAGGGATTCTGCCTCCAGCTTGGCTGAGACCTCGGAGGGGGAGGAGAGGGAGCCCGGACTCCTGGGTTCCTCCTTACTCACACTCTCCCCTGGCACTGGGGGGAGGGTGGTTGGCAAATCTCCTGGGTGCCTTCTATGCGGAAATGGCAGGGCCACTCAAGCCTGCACTGAAACCTCGCTTTCTGAGTGGGGAGATTAGATTCCTTAAAGGCAGGAGGGGGAACACTCTTCACATGCTCAAAAGCACACCTGCGACTCAGAATCACACTCAATGCAAATTCTGAGGCCAGGGTGAGGATTAACGTGTTCCAAGATCCTTTTTCAGAGAAAGCCGTTCTTGTTTTTAACAGGAGGGCTACAGTGTCCAGAAAGTCCCAGATTCAATCCCCAAACCCTGACTTGAAACGTCCCAGAGAGCTGCTGCCAGTCAGTGTAGACAACACTGAGTTGTCTTCACTGCCTTATGCTGAGACCAAGAGTCTCATTCAGCATAAGGCAGCTTCCGAGGTGCTTAGGTTTGAAAATGTAGCCACGGTAGCTGCAGTTTGAAGAGAAAGACGGGGTTTTTAATTCTTCCCCTTAGGGAAGGTGGAGGACTCTCCTTAAACAGAGGTTGGACGGCCATCTGTCAGGGATTCTTTAGTTGTGGTTCTTGCAGTGCAGGGGGGTTGGCCTAGATGACCCTTGAGGGGTCTGTTCCAATGCTACACTTCCATGATTCTGTAGTATTTTTTCTGCTGAAAATCACACACAGAGAGAGCTGCTTTTACAGACACGCAGAGGAAAATATCCAGATAGAAAAGGCAGGCTCCCATGAGACCTAAAAGGGTCAGGTGAGCATCCTTCTGGGGTGGAGGGGGGGCAGGGGGAGTCCTCAGAGCCAGGCTTGGCCTCTTCCCTCTCTCTCCTCCTGCCCCCTCCCTTCTGCCCTCAGGTAAGAGATGTCTGTGCAGCCCCAGCTGTGATCTCAGGAAGCCAATTTTAACCCAGTTGTCTGGGCTGCTTCCCTTCTGCACATTGCCATGGTATGTGTGCTTCCTTTCTGCAGTGCAATTTTTTTTGGGGGGGGGGTCTTCTGCATGTCTCAGCAAAACAAAAATAAAAAGCATCCCCATTTGCCTCCTCCCCAAACAAAATAAACATGCATCCGTCTTCCGGGGGGCTCTCAGTCAGGAGTAGGCCAAAAGAAGAGAATAAAATAAAAATTAAAAAAGGGAGCAGGATTTATTATGTAAATTAATTTTCTATTTATTCTGGTGCTTTGCATAGAATTCCACCAGCATTAGGTATTCATGGAGACGGGGAAAACTGCAGCAAGGGGGGGCAGTGCTGGGGAGGGTAATCTGAGACCAGACAGCAGCATTTAGAGAAATCTATCGAACTGGCTGGGGGGGGGTGGTCCTTGAAAATGCAGTCATCAGTCCACCCAAAAATACTCTGAGGTGAGGGGGGAATTAAAAGCAGACAACCAGGAAGCCATTAGCATGCAAATCAACTCATAGTGAGGGGGTGTTCAGATCTGTCTCCAGCATGAAGCTGAATGGATGCTAGACTGTGGCACCACCAACCAATGTGAGGCAGTACGGTGAAGCGGTTGGAGCATTATTTATTATTGTTAAATTTATTGCCTGCCCTTCACCAGGAGGTCCCAAGCCAGCTTACAACTATATGAAATTCTGAATTAAACACAGTTTAAACCAACTGCAGCCCCAGGAATGAAGTGGGTCCTGAAAACATACGTCTCAGGGGTCAAAGGCTGGGGTAAAGAAGGACAGCTTCAGCATTCGATGTATAGTGAAGGTGCCAGACACACTTCTGTGGGGAAGAAGAAGAAGAGTTTGGATTTGATATCCCACTTTATCACTACCCTAAGGAGTCTCAAAGCGGCTAACAATCTCCTTTCCCTTCCTCCCTGTGAGATAAGTGAGGCTGAGAGACTTCAGAGAAGTGTGACTAGCCCAAGGTCACCCAGCAGCTGCATGTGGAGGAGCGGGGAAGTGAACCCGGTTCACCAGATTATGAGTCCACCGCTCTTAACCACTACACCACACTGCGATAGGAGTCTATGCTGGCCTAGGGAAGACCTGAGTTCTAATCCCCACTAGGGCATGAAGCTCATGGTGACCTGCCTCACAGGGTTGTTGTGAAAATTGAAACATCGAGAAGGCGCAGGGCTCTATGCAGTGTTGGGGGCAAGTGAAGGAGCTGCCGATTTCATTTTCTTTTTGCAAACCTCTTTGAGGTCTACAATCAAATGGTATATAAATTTTATTAAATTAAATGATTTTTCCCCCTGGGGCGGGAAGGGTTGCCAGGGCAAAGTGCCCCTTTGTGGTTTCCCTCTTTCACTGCAGGGATAATTTTGTGACCTGAGCAGTCAGGTTTCCTCGCCATTTAAAACTTCATGATGCAGCGTCACCCTGAGGCATTGCGGGAAATGAAAGCAGTGGCCAAGCGCCATGGGCCAGAAAAAAAAACATCCCTTCACAGGAGGGCCCAGAGGCGGCCTGCTGGGGCAGTGGGGCCCTGGCAGCAGCCCACGAAGGTTGGGTGCCAGCCTTACTCCCTGAGGAAGAGACCAGAGTTAGAGCTGCCACTGTCTCTACCTGAGAGGGCAGGGCTGGGACATAGCTGGAGCTGGGGTCTGCCATCTGTCACCCACCCACCCCTCAGCCTTCAGCCTTCAGCCAGATAATAAAGGTAAAGGGACCCCTGACCATTAGGTCCAGTCATGGCCGACTCTGCGGTTGCGGCGCTCATCTCACTTTATTGGCCGAGGGAGCCGGCATACAGCTTCTGGGTCATGTGGCCAGCATGACTAAGCCGCTTCTGGCGAACCAGAGCAGCGCAAGGAAACACCGTTTACCTTCCCACCAGAGCGGTACCTATTTATCTACTTGCACTTTGACGTGCTTTTGAACTGCTAGGTTGGCAGGAGCAGGGACTGAGCAACGGGAGCTCACCCCATAGCGGGGATTTGAACAGCCGACCTTCTGATTGGCAAATCCTAGGCTCTGTGGTTTAACCCACAGCACCTTACATTTAAAGCCCACCTTTTTCTCCAAGGACCCTCCAGGTGGCATACATAGTTTTTCCCCTGCTCATTTAATAGCCACAGCAAGAACCCTGCAAGGTAGGCTAGGCTGAGAGGCAGTGACTGGCCCAGCCTCATGACTGAGTGGCGATTCAAACCCTGCTCTCCCAGGTCATGGTCCAAAGCACTAACCCTTGGGCTTGAGCCCCAAGACTCCCGCTTACTCTCCCACCAGCTGTCATGACCCTGAGCTTGGCAAAGGACGGTGCTCAGCCCCGTGGCCAAGGCTCTGCAAGGCCCCTGGTGCACTGGGATGAGTGGCAAATGGCGTCCATGCCTTCGTCTGCGCCAGGCCTGTGGAATGATGCGGCTGAACGAGCACTTGGCCTAATAAAGAGTGTGAAATGCAGCTCCCTGGTCTTGGCGGCTGCTCCTTGGCAGAGGGGACAGCTCTGGGATGAAGGCGCTTGGCGCGCGGGGAGGTTGCCATTCTGCGATTGAGCAGCAGGGGCCAAGGCCGGGCGCCAGGACTCGTGAGGCGCCTGGCTGAGGATCAATGCTGAGCGGGATCTGAGGCGTGGTGGCAAGAGACAAAGGAAGGTAGGACCGGGTAGCACACAGCTCGCAAGAATGGGTGCCCACAGAAAGACTCGGTGCCCAGCAGAGTGCCAACGTGGCATCATAGTTGGAGAGCTGGGTTGGACTAAGAACAAGCCAGTGACCCATCTCATGCCCTCCAACATCTTGTGTCCCCAAACCGGGATAAGCAACTTCTCGCTGTGCTCCTGCACGAGTCACATAACCTGCACAAGATCATGGGGCCCCAAAAATGCACTTTTTCAGGGCTGTGTTCGCACAGCGCCCAAAGATGTGCGTTTTGGGGCACTGAGCAAGATTGTGTCCCCGAAAAAGCTATTTTTTCAAGGGGAGAAGCAGTTTTTTCAGGGCAAGATCTTGGCACGAAATCACACGAGATCACCCTTGTGGGTGGCAGGTTCTGTAATCAATCCAGATGGAAAGTGGCCTGTTGAGGAAGAGCAGGAATAATTCTGGACTGAGGGAAATGACATTTTTGTGCTGCAGGGGGGAGCCCCTGGGTGAGTCAGACCAAAAGCCCATCTGTCCCGGGAAAGAATCATAGAATCACATACCCTCCAACATTTCTCTGATGAAAATAGGGACATCCCATTCTGTAATGATTATTTTATTTATTTATACCCCACACATCTTACTTGGTTGCCCCAGTCACTCTAGGCAGCTTCCAACATATATAAAAAACATAATAAACCATTAAACTTTTTTGTTTAAACTTCCCTATGAACCACCTTCAGACAGCTTGAGGGTTAGATAACTCCATGCCTAAGGAAAAGTGGGACATTTCGGGATCAAATCAGAAATCGGGACGGCTTCTCTAAATCAGGGACATCCCTGGAAAATAGGGACCCTTGGAGGGTCTGGAATCATAGAACTGTAGAGTTGGAAGGGACCCTGAGTGTCATCTAGTCCAACCCCATGGTCCCTACTCTTCCCCCAACCCAGTGCTCTCCAGATGTTTTGGACTACAGCTGGCCAGGGCCGTTGGGAGTTGCGGTCCAAAACAGCTGGATGATGGCTGAGGAAGTAGGCTGTCTCCAGGGTGGCTTTTTTTACGGTGGTTCAAATCCCCGCGACGGGGTGAGCTCCCGTTGCTCGGTCCCTGCTCCTGCCCACCTAGCAGTTCGAAAACATGTCAAAGTGCAAGTAGATAAATAGGTACCGCTCCAGCGGGAAGGTAAACGGTGTTTCCATGCACTGAAGCGGCTTAGTCATGCTGGCCACACGACCTGGAAGCTGTTCGCTGGCTTCCTCGGCCAATAAAGCGAGATGAGCGCCGCAACCCCAGTCGGTCACGACTGGACCTAATGGTCAGGGGTCCCTTTACCTTTACCTTTGCAGACTCCAAAGGCCCTCAGCTTTCACTGAGAACCAAACCAAGTAAGTTTCTAGACCTCAGGACTGAGCAGGAAGCTTTTCAAGTAGGCCGTGTCTTCTGGAGGCTCAGCTTTCGTGAGCTGTCAGAGCGTCTGAGTGCACCCCACCCCACCCCTTTGCAAATAACAATTCTCCAGGCAGCGATGTCTGTTTGCTTCTCCTGCCATGTAGTGATTGAATGTGATTCTTCAAAGGGGGGGGGGAGAGGCATCTGTGGGAGTTGGGGGGCTTGTTTGCAAAGGAAAGTTCAGAGACCTGGTAGCAAATTAACTGGTGACATGCTGTGTCGGATGTGGGGGCCCCCCCACCTCAAACGCCATCTTCTTCTTCCTTGTGCCTCAGTTTCCCCTTCAGCAGGAATGGGGCTTGAATCTGAAGGAAGGGAACCATTTGATCTTCTTCTGTTTCCATTGCAGAGGGATCCTCTTGGCTGGGGGAGCAATAATGTGTCTCAAGGCATTTTCGAGATTCCCCTTTGATGCCTGCTTCCCCACTCCCTCCCTTCCCCCTCTTGAGCTTCAGAAGTAAAAGATCTGCCAAGCTGTCAACAGTGTTTAAACAACACCCTCATGCAACAGATCCGAGGGGAGGTTTATAATTAAATGGCTGACAGGCACTCGGCAGCCTCCGTCATGAAGTTGGGGTGGGGGGAGGAAGGCAGGCATGGCAGAGGGGCTGTTCGTAATCCACCGCCATGGAGATGCCACAGCCATGCCCATCCAAGGCCTTTCTCTGGAGCTGCCAGCCTGTACCTGTCATGGCAGTTGGGCAAAAAGCATACATTTGCTTTGCTACTTCAAGATCTATTCAGACGAGCAGCTGCAGCAGTGGCTGATTTTTCAGTGTGGCAACAGTTTGTGGAAGCTCTGCGTTGGGTCACTGCCAAATGACCTGTGTCTCAAAGGGAGGGGGACCAGCTCTGAGGCAGGACACCTGCTTCGAGTGCAGAAGGCCTCAAGCGCCATCCTGGAGGGCATCACCACTTTAAAAGGATTGGATAGTTGCAGGCAATTGGAAATGACCCTTCTCTCCACTGCAGAGGCACTGCCAATCGATCAGAGCCAGCCCTACCATTGGACCGAGTGGGGAAACCGCCTAGGCAGCTGGTTCTGCACATCTTTAATGGACAATAGGTTGTTAGTGAGGGCAAGCTGAGGGATTTTCTGCTGCAGGTGCTAAACAACTGGACCTCCCCTGGGCTTTCTCTGTCTCTCGCTTAAGGACACATGGGGCTGCCTTATACCAAGTCAAGCCATTGCTTCTCCTAGCTCAGTATTGTCTACACTGACTGGCAGCAGCTCTCTGGGATTTCAGGCTCAGGGGCCTTTCCCAGGCCTGCCTGGAGATGCTGCCAGAGATTGAGCCTGGGACCTTCTGGGGGCATTTGCTGTTCCACCTCAGGCGGCAAAATGCCTTGGGCCAGACTAGACAAGAAGCCCACCAGGAGAGCCCGACTGCAGCCAGATGAGGCATTTTTATTTATGTATTGTTTGTTTACTTATTTCCACCCGCAGAACTGGGGCTCGAGGTGGCTCAGAAAAATAAAAATACAATAGAAGATAAAACAGCTAAAAAACACATTAAAATGTTATAGTTGAAAAGCGATCGAATTAAAGCAGCGTCAAAACACATATCGGGGTCCCTTGCAACCCCCCAATTCTATGGTTCCATCGGAAGGGCGTTAGTGAGGGGAGGGGGCTGCCTCTCTGGTTTTCCTTCTTGCGCAGCCAAGAGAGAGTTGTGGGGAATTCAACTGAACCAAACGGCTTCTCTCTCACTGCAGCACTCCAGCATTTGACCCACTTTCTCTCTTGACGGGACTTGGATGCATTTTTACCTTCAGTCAGAACGGAAGTGGAAGTAGTTAAGGCCCTGACTTGGATCCTGGAGCCACTGAGGCTTTGACTGCATCTTTCTCTCCTGGTCTCCCGAGACGGCCCTCATCTTGCAAAGCCCCCCAGCCCCCCTCTCTCCTTGAATAGGGGAGATTTCAGCTCAGAAGAACTTCCTGGGCTCTCCATAAAGGGCACTCTGAACCAGCTGCATAATCTTGCCTTGTGGGTTGAAGGACTGTCAGGCAGCGGCTTAGCCTCTCAGAACAGATCCTCCAAGCGCCCCTATTTTCCACGGACAGTCCTGGATTTACAGAAGCCGTCCTGGTTTCTCATTTGATCCCAGAAAAATAGGATGCCCCTATTTTTATCAGACAAATGCTAGAGGGTGTGGAGTTATCCGACCACTGAGCCATCTGAAGGCAGCCTTGTATATGTTTTATTATGTTTTTATATACGTTGGAAGCTGCCCAGACTGGCTGGGGCACCCCATTCAGATTGGTGGGGTATAAATAGTAAAGTTGTTGTTGTTGTTGTTGTTGTTGTTGAATAGGATGTCCCTATTTTCATCAGAGAAATGTTGGAGGGCATGTCAAAAGCAGCTGTGGGGAGAAGCCTTGAAGTGGACAAAAAGTCGTAAGATTATCGCCTTACCTGCCAATTCTTACCAGCAAATTCTGGACTTGGAAGAGGGGAGCCTCTGAAGCCAGAGGTACCATCAAGGCAGGACTTTCAGGCAAAGGTTGGGGATCAGAAGAATGAGCAGGAGGCCTCCTCAAACGCAGCAAGGGCAGCACACGGCTGGGTTCACCACATTTTAAGGTCACTGAAGCAATACACAGGTCACTCTCTAAAAAGCTCCACCCACCCTGCACCCAGAGAGTAAGACCATCAAGTCTAGAGCCAGAACTTCAGGGGGTTGGGATAGATGACCCTCGGACCCCTTCCAACTCTATAGCTCTGATTCCCTCACCGCACCACTGCCTGAAGCCTTTTAGATCCACCTTGAAATGATGGGCTGGGTAAAATGGAAATGAAATAATATTTCACAGGCAGGTCTTGTTTCTTTGTAAAAGCGTAGAATTGCCACCGCCCCCCTCATGTGGAAGCCTGGGAGCCTTAGGAGGTGGGGGGCTGGCTCAGAAGCCCCTCCCAAGATGATGATGATTACAATTTATTATCCACCCTTCAGCCCAAGGTCCTTATAGTTAAAGGACATCATCAGTATTAAAACACAATATAAAAAACAGTTTCAAGCAACTTACAAAAAGAAGCTCGAGTCCTAAAAAATATATACACCTCAAGTGTCAGCACCCAGGATAAAGAGGTGGGTCTTCTGCATTTGCCAGAAGTGGGAATAATGTGGGAATGAGGACACAGGTTTGTGGTGGCTGAGGGGTCAAGCACTCACTTTGCATGTCAGTTTAGGGGGTGAAACTTAATTTTTGAAAATTTATTCAGTGAGGAGTCTTAAAAATATGCTTTTGGATGTGAGGAATTCAAACCTGCCATTATTTTTGTGACTGGACAATGTTTAGCTTGGTAAGTCTACGTTTGATGAATAAGCACATAAAACTGCTTTCGGAAAACCAAATAATTTTAGTTTTAACTTCTGACAATGTTGGTCAATGCTAAATAATAAAAATGAAAAATAATATATAATCTATAACATAACTGCAAGTACTTGGAAATCATGTTTAATTATTTCCATGCAGTTTTTACCAACATCTTACCTACCAAACAAAACTGAATTACCGAACGGACCTCCGGAACGAATTAAGTTTGTAACTAGAGGTACCACTGTATATCAATTTAATCAAAATATATTTTGGATTCCCAAGTCATGTTACAGCTTTTTAGCAGCCCTCCTTTTTGGAATTTGAAAGTTGAAAAATTCAACATGCCACAATTCACTCCCAGGCAGCATCTCTAGAACAGGGAGCAGGTGATGGATAAGGAGTCGGCCTGAGACCCTGGAGAGGTGCTGCTGCCAGTCAGAGTAGACAGTACTGAGCTTAGAGACTGGCCTGAACTAAGGCAGCTTCTAACACCGCTGAGGAGGAGGGACCAGTGCTCAGCAGCACCTCCTGGTGGCAGATGTGGGGAAAGGCAGAGACCCTAGAGCAGGCTTCGCCAACCTGGTTCCCCTCAGAGGTTGTTGGACTACAACTCCCAACAGCCCCTGCAAGGCCGGGGTTTAGCCCATAAACAGTTCCAGCTGCAGTCCTCTAGCGCCATCTGATGGGGAAGAAGCGCTTCTGGTGATGCAGGCACAACACCCCACAGTGTGCTTCACCGGAGCCTCTAAATCCCAAAGCGTTTTGCCTCTTCCATCCAAAGCAAGACATGCCCAGCAAGCAGTTTGGGGTCCACGGCGTCGTCAGAGCTGCAAGAAGCACATCCGGACAAGCTGCCCAGTGAAGCTGAGTGTTGATGCAGGAAGCTGCCTTATACTAAGAGTCCACCTGGCTCACTATTGTATTATGGGCTGGCAGCAGCTCTTCAGGAGATCCCCAGACCTACCTGGAGATGCCATTGAACCTGGGACCTTCTGCACGCAAAAGCAGACACTCTGCCACTGAGCTACCGCCCTGCACGGTCCGGGAATCAGCGTGTTTTTACATGAGTGGAATGTGTGCTTTTATTTAAAATGCACCTCTTGGTTATTTGTGGGGCATAGGAATTCGTTCATTTCCCCGCAAAAAATATAGTCCGGCCCCCCACATGGTCTGAGGGACGGTGGACCGGCCCACGGCTGAAAAAGGTTGCTGACCCTTGGTTTAGACAAATTCGTGGAGGAGAAAGGTATCACTGGCTGCTGGTCAGGGTGGCTGTGTTCTGTATGCAGTGTTGGAGAAAGGATGTTTTTGAATGCCTTTTGCTGGGATTTTTAATTGGGGAGAGAGCACTCTCAGGTTCTGCTTGTGGACTTCTCATCAGCTTCTGGGTGGCCACTGCAAAAACAGGAGGCAGGACTTGGACGGATCCAGCAGGGCTCTTCTTCAGTTCTTTGCTTCATAGTTTAGAGTAAAGGCAAGAGGTGGTTCTGCCTGGTACGGAGAAAGTGGAAAAGGGGGTGTTTTCTCCCTCAGTCAAAGAGACATTGATCGAATCTTGGAAGATTTGAAACAAAACAAGTCCTTGTTCACCCAGCATACAGCTAAACTGTGGGATTCTCTCCAAAATGTTCTGATCCGAAAAAGATTTGCACAGCTGTTACAGAGAGATCATGGAGCAAATTTGTTTCCTGCTGCTCCAGATGCTACCAAGGGGTCCAAATTATGAAAAAAGGGATTAGGGTGAAACATATAGTAAGTGCTTCCCGGTGGTCTGAGCAGTTTGAACCATGGAATGAGTGGGACCTCTTCCATGAGAGACTTATAAGCCAAGGTTGGGCTGACAGTGGTGGTTTCCCCACATTGTTGGGGGCTTGAACTAGGTGATCTTTAGTGTCAGCACAGTTGCCCCGGTTGCTGATCTGTTACTGGGCAAAGTTCAAAATGTTACTACAGTGGTACCTCGGGTTAAGTACTTAATTCGTTCCGGAGGTCCGTACTTAACCTGAAACTGTTCTTAACCTGAAGCACCACCACTTTAGCTAATGGGGCCTCCTGCTGCTGCCGCGCCGCCAGAGCACAATTTCTGTTCTCATCCTGAAGCAAAGTTCTTAACCCGAAGCACTATTTCTGGGTTAGCGGAGTCTGTAACCTGAAGCGTATGTAACCTGAAGCGTATGTAACCCAAGGTACCACTGTATTAGTATACAAAGCCCCAAACAGCTTGGGATCAGTTTACTTGTGGGATGACCTTACTCCATATGTGCCCACTTGAGCACCTAACATTTATTCAACACCTTCAAGAAAACAATATTTTAGTGTGGCAGCGCCTACACTTTGGAACTCCCTGCCTATGGACATCAGACAGGTGTCTTCACTGTACTCATTTTGATATCTGCTTAAAACACTACATCTAGGAGTCAACATGTAGTTTTACTTTATTGTACATTTTAATTATTGGGTTTGTTCCCCACCCCTTTTAAAATCTGGCTTTTATTGACAATTTTTACATCTGTTTTAATTTTTGCGAACTACCCTGAGTTTCTGTCTGCAGTATATACTTTTTGTGAAATTAATGCTGGGCAGTACTCTGCGCAGTGCTGGGGTAATACCGTATTGGCCTGAATATAAGCTGCACCTTTAAAATTGGAGGAGGGGGGAATACCGAAATATAAGCCGCTCCATTCCTCGCTGCTCCTGGCTGCATACTGGGCGAGGGGGAGTCGCATGTGCCGCTCTGCCGTGTTCCTGGCACTGGCTGCCCCATGCTCCTGGCTGCACACCGTAAGGTCACAAATATAAGCAGCACTTTAACTTTTCATGGTCGGAATTTGGGGGGGAAAGTGAGGCTTATATTCAGGTCAATATGGTACACTTCACAAGAGCAGCCACACAAACACCTCAAACCACCTGCAGCCTTAAAAAAAAAAAAAACATTTTAAGGCTGCAATCTTATGCACACTTAAAATCGTAGGATTGTAGAGTAGGAAAGAACCCAGAGTGTTAACTGGTTCACCTCCTACAAGTACCAGTGAGTTTACTGCTGAGTAGAGAATTGCAGTGTAAGTTTGCTCCCAGCCTGAGAAACTAGGTGAGGGGCAGACTAAAGGCAAATTGCACACCAGGGGGTGTTTTTGGGTGGTTCCTGGTTGTTGTTTTTTTGCCCTCCAAATGATTGGTGCCTCCTGGCAAAGAAGAAATTTGTTGGGAGGTTTGTGTAGTGGGGAGGTGGTGTTCAAAATTGGATCTCCTGGGCTGTGGTAATCCTTCTCTGTTGTAAGCAGGTAGGCATAGGCAGAGAGGCGAGGCTGAAATTATTTCCTTCTTTTCAAAGTCTGGCCTTGGAACCGCATCAATAGGAGTAAAGGTTAATCTGGTTTAAGGACATTTAAAAAAACAAAAACGTGTTTAGCACAGAGATGCTTTCTCATTTCATTTTGAACGTCTGTCCGTTGCGCTTTCCAGGGCACCGCCAAGGGCCTGTGTAAACAGAAAAACTAATTTCTCACCCAGACACCCTCCTTGCAGAAATCTTGAGAGATTGGCAAATGCCTGTGTGTAAGAGCCGAGGAAATGAAAGGCACCCCAAACAAACAAACACACACACACACACACACACACACACACACACTCCTTGCTCTCTTGCAGGGAAGCTTTCCTTCAGTACTGAACAGTGCCCGAGGAAATCAGCAGCAACCCTCCAGTAGTGGAAATGAAAGCAGAACCTTTTTTTGAATCTTCACGCCCACGTGAAGGCATCTGTGCCCCTGCATTCTTGTGCCTAAGACCCAAGAGGTGCGGCACAGTGATACCATAAGGCCAAACTGAATGAGGTCACAGGGTTCCCAACTTTCAAAAGTTAAAAAAAACAAAACACCTGACACAGGAGATTAAAATCATAACTGTGATGGGATGATGAGCTGCTTGTGCGTAAAATCGTATCCCCTCAGAGTTTGTTCAAGTCCACAAACCTCTGTCTGTGACAGAGCCCCTCAGACATGGCTACTCTAGTCACTAGCAGATTCCAACATAAAAGCTCCTTAACGGAAACACGTCTTCTGGAATCTCTGCGTGACAGTTTCCGGCGAGGAGTGGGTGTTCTTACAGGAGGTCCTGAAACCTCTCCACTGTTTTCGCTGGAAGTGTCTCTGAGCCATCCCTCCAGCTCAGCT